CTACATGCGCGACTGTCAGGAAGGAGTGAGTCTTGATCAAACCCTCTATACCCTTGAAAAATGCCATTTCTGTAGGGTCACAAAATGACAAGTGACTTTCAGGCCCAGTATTGATCCCTGCATGAAGGGGGAAATGCACCGTCAGAACTGAAGTACCCATCTTAAACTAGTATACAAGTTGCTGTTCACCTCCACCCAGCCACAGAAGAGAAGAATTTGACTGGTTCAATATCGCCGGGGATTCGTCAGGCAAGGGGCTCTCGACGACGTCTCAAATAACAAACAGTACCTCTGATCAGCAACGTAGCTGAAGTCACTCAGGAATACCTATAACGGACCATGGTGGTAGCATTTTACTGCCAAATTACTCAACAAATAGCAGACTGACATTGGTAAAAAGAGCATGCAGCAAAAAAAGAGTGAAACTGCAAATCAGCACCAAGAGGGCGAGGATTATGAGGGCGCTCACCTCCCAGTGCTGAATACTAAAGAAGCCGATATTGTAATAGAAAACACAGATCATTTCAAGTTCCCCTGAAATGTTTTGTCGAATGATGACAACGCTGAGTCTGAAGTGAATCAGAGTGTGAGCGAACTTCGAAAAGTTGTATCGGATCGAAGATGGCTATCGTGTATCATGGACGCATCGAATCACCAATCAGTACATGATGACGACCCAAAGGTCGTGGAAAACAACCAGACAAGCGATCAAACCCTCCTTCGCATTTGAATTCTCCATTGTCTGCGAGCAAGTTGGAGGACAATATAAAATATAGAAACCCCTCATTGAGGCAGACCTGACCAACAAGGAAGGGACACTTACCGCAAAAGCGTTGCTGAATACTGTAATCTGAAATGTCATTGCTAACGATCAGAGTTCATGGACAATCCCGTGACAAATCAACCGCTTCGTACATCGAGACAGCCTCTTCGGCAACCTATACAAACGCTTGACAACAAAACCTAGTCCATCCCTCCTTACTACCTCGGACGATTAAGATACGCTAACCGACAATACGACGAAGCGATTTTATTACCTGAAGCCGTGACTGTTCCCGTCTTCTCTTCGCTAGCAACATTTACGTTGTGGACTTATGTTGCTTGCGAGGGAGTAGTTAAACTTGGGCGTAAGTTGGTTCGGACGTGGTTTGTAGCCGTTGGTCTGATTTCGAGCGAATGACACGGAATGTCGCCGCATTTTTTAACCGACCAATCAATCTGCGCGGCGGCAGCTCTGTAATACCGCCTTTTTCGTCACTATTGGAAGATCGTGGACTTCGCGAACCCAGCGGCGCCCCGAACGCTAATTGCCCATGACGACCGACGTCGAAACAACGCCGAGAGGTATTAGAAGAATTTCATGTCCAAACAAGACAAGATGTGACGTCGTGAGAAAAGTGTGCTGTTCAAACTCTGTGAACCGAAAATCAATCTCGTTCGACGCGTCATAATTTGTGGTGTCTCTCCTTCTGGAAGGCGGTTCTCCAGTGGAAAAGATGCAGCGGCGAAGATGCAGAAAAAGTTACGAATTCGATTTTACCTCCTAAGCGGCCACGTCACAGGTCGTTCAGCGATTGCTGAGGAAGTCTCTCACGCGCCAACGGAAACTGGCCCGCCAAACAGCCACAGTACTTCGCCCCCTTACCCTCCTTAATACGTTTTACCACTACCCCAACGGCCATCAGCAATTTTGACCTTGGAATTTTCGAACCAAACAAATCAAGCATGCAATCTTTTCTATACATCTACATACCTATCCTTACGCATTTGATCTTTCAAACTTCTACATTCAGGTTCAACAATAAAAAGGTTCCTTAATCGTCCTTGTCTACAATGAACTCCACCACAAACTTTTCTGAAATGGTGGAGAAGCATCAAAGGCGTGTTTCAATTATTCGGTCATGGTTCCTAGACGTCGGAACACACTCAGCACATAAATCAGCGCGTGCACAGTTATAACCGAAGTCAATAAGGGTCAATGGCATTTTGATGTATTAAGTACCCTTCTCTTCGAATCTTCTTACCATTCTCAAATACGATTTAACAACCGTCTCAGATCTACTCCTCCTTGTGTAATTCCCAGCAACAATAAACTCAAACTAGGAGGTAAGAACCTCCCTTCCTCCATTATCTGACATGTCCTCGTTGTGGAGGTTCCACCAGTGCAAATAGAGGTTACTCCAATCTTCTTTCTTTTTCAACATTTCACTGGCGAGTGATCGCTCGGTGAGAGCCTTCATGAGGTATTGTCAACTCGTTCCTAACCTTCATTCAAACCGACGAATTCACGGACGTGGAAGAATCTATGAAGTTCTGGCTATGGATAAATATCATTGGTCAGAGGCAGGCAATATCACCTTTTCAATCCACCGAAGCCATGCCTACACCAATTTCAGGTCTACAGTTCAGCACAAAAACGAATCAAACTGCAAAACACATAAATGAGACGATGGAGCCCTTCCTGCAACGACCAAACGCATTAATCTCGGTGGCCCGGATGGCGGGGTACACGTTTGCAGTACAAATACGATCTTACACCCTTTTTATATGACCCAGGACCAGAAGAACATTACAACGAGCTCATCCACGCAGAAAGGTTCAGTTCCCTGAAAATGAATCAAGGACAAAAAATGATATAAAAGGATCAGTCCGCGTTGTAAAGAGTTATAGTGAGGATAGGTAATCACGAGTCTAAATAGAAGTTGGATACATGGTTGGTTAATAATTATTCCATTTATATATTTTGGCGTGTGATAAACATTTGATCGCCTGATTCCATCATCCTTCTCCTCGCATCCAGGGTCTGGTTTTAAGTAACTTATTGTCAATTATTGCCTTCTGTTTATACTGTGACTTCAATACCAGTTATTGATAGCCTCAAATCATCACGACATTTCAGAGTTTTTTTCAACGTTTGTCAGCCCTTCCTGCCCTACGCAATGCCATGATCGTCATCCAGCCCTCATGCCAAGATAGGGTTGCGATTTGTCGCAATCGGTTCGACCCGTATGCCTTTCAGCCATGAACTGTTTATGCCTACCTCTCGATTTTTTCCAGCACGGTTCGGGCACACTACGAAATTAATGTTTATGAATAGCTTGCATTTTTCTTGTCAGACACAGCCCGTTGAGAGACTAAACGTAATGGT